AAGTCAGTCACTTTGCTCAGTGCCTCAGTTTCCCAAATTGTGAATTTGAGAAATCGAGACATTTGGTAATCCTCTGATTTTCTCCACTTCCACTCAATTTAGATATTTGGCGGGCCTCTGGAATTTAATTTGACAGTGACCATAATATCCAACCAAGTTTTGTTCCGACAAAAAAATCTCTTTCTCTCTCTCAGTTTCTTGAATCATCTGTTGAATGCTACTCCTGTAGGACGCCGAATAGGTGGCGGCGACACCGTTGCCAACTCCTCGAATTGCTCTTTGAAAATGATTTGTTAGCAAATAGTCATGGAAATATACAGACATTATAAATATTCTTTTTTTTTTACAAAGACAAACACTCATGAAAACAAAAAGCACTCATCTTTAAACACTGTCCCAAATAGCCCCTTGAGGGTTGTGAGTTTGAACTGCATCGTTCTGTCATTCCCAGTGGAACTGAATACTGATTTTTGCCACAGATGGAACCATCTGTGTTACTCTTTAAAAATGTAAATATAAATTCCTGTGATCTTTGGTTAAGGCAAAAAGGAATTCGGAGCCCAGAGCTAGAGGTGGCATCTCTCAAAGCCAGAGAGCTGATTCTTTTCCCCTAGCTCCCGTTGGAACCAGCCTGGAGCGAATGAATGGGCTCACAGTCATAATGATGAAGATTATGATAATAATAATGGTGATGGTTATGATAGAGATACTTGCATATCTCTGTCTTTAAGCCGCCCTGCCCTTCTACCTGGGAAAGGGAAAAGGGTCGCCGCGAGGGGACCGGGGGAGAGACCCACGCAGGGCTCAGGAATGTTCCGGGTGCTGCGGACAGACAGAAAGTTTGGCTAGAGGCGCGGCTTGCTGCAGCGCGCTCTGGGCTGCCTAGCGGAGCCAGGCACCTGCAGGCAAGTTCGCCTTTGAGCGGCGCTCGCGGAGCAGCCCGGAGCCCCAAGCCTGGAGCGCTGTGCCCGAGCCGGCGACACAGCGGGGCTCGGCGAACAGGGTCAGGCCTGGAGCGCGGGTTCCGCTTCCCGCGCACTGGCGCCTCATCCCGCTCCCGCGGGTTCTGCAGTCCGCGGCTGGAAGGCACGGTTTTGTCTCCAGGCTTGGTCACAGCCTGGCAGAGCACAATCGCCGAGTATATGGGGACATTCAGGGCGCACGTTAAGGTCTGGGAAGCACACGCCAAGCTATTGTAGGTGCCGCGGCGTAGTGCCATAGCCGGCGAGGTTTTCTGGACGCCTTGCCTCCTGTGTCTTGGGGATCATAGGAGCCATTGCATGGCTTTTCCTCCCATTTCTCAGGTCGCGGGAAGTCGCCCCTGGAAAGAGGGAGTCATTTACTCTGAAATGCGGGCATTTGCAGCCCATAGGCAGCACTGTGCGGAACACGATTTCCAAAACCCCGAACCTAAATATATAGGAGTTCGTTGACAACTTTCGTCTCTTTCCTGTAACCTCAATTACCTACTTTTCATAACAGACTGATTTAAAAATTCGGGAAGGAGTTAAAGATGATTAATATTAAACAGGAGTAAATAGGATTTCTTTATCGTTGGAGACTTTGGGACTTTTCATCTAAATAATAGTAACTGACCAGAAAACTTTAGTTCATTATTTCTTCTCCTAACCAGAGATGATTATTTAATGACGTAGTTTATTATTTCTGCTCTTGGCCAGAGAGCCTTATTTTAACACACTAGAGGGTTAGAGCCAGAGGTAGATTATAAAATGAGTGATCAAATTCTAGAAAAAATATCCCGAGGCAGGTATATTTTGGAGGACCGGAGAAGCTACACATAAATTCTACCAGGAGATTTTTTCTCCCCCTCTTTTACCACCGGACACAAATGCAAGGTACTTTACTAATCCTTCCACCTCAATCCCTCTTTTTTTTTTTCACTTCGGAAGCAAATCCTGGTAACCAGATTTGTTGTGTGTGTGTGTGTGTGTGTGTGTGGTTACATAATTGAGTGGATTTAGGTTTTCAACATTTTATATGTGTGTTTTGACTAAGCAAGCAAACAAAAACAAAACTAGCAACATATGCATAATGTCCTTTATGGTGGCATGATGAACATCTATCTATATATATATACACACACACACATATGATATATTTTTATAGTTTTTCCTTTTTTACAAAGCAGATTTTGCTGTCACTGTTCATCAACTAGGGTCATTGGTTTAGGGGGGCGATTAGATCCAGATGGTACATTATACACGACTTCTTTTTGAAGTTAGTAGAATTCTTTTCAATGAAAAAACTGAATCTACTGAACTCTATGCTCTGTGTACGAAGGCAGGGGGCAGTCTCTGATCACGTCAGTCTTCCTCTGAATACAGCTTCTTTTCTGGACAGTTTCCCTTTTTTAGGGAAAAACAACATTCAACTTCTGGGCCTTTGATACACTCAACAGTGAAAGGAGACAGAAATAAAAAGCCATTTTCAAGGAGTTGGAAGGTCCCATCTGCAGATATATATATATATATATATATATATATAGCAATTTTCGTGAAAAATAAAAAGGTCTATCAAGATTTAAATTCTGCCTATTTTTGGTTTTGTCTTCTGCAACAAACCATGTTGAATTAATATCATCTAATATTCTTGGAGTTGTAATTTCCAGCAATGAAGTATATATTTTGAAAAAAACAACACACTAAAGCTCCAAGCGCGAGTAGTGTACTTAAAATCACTGCCATGGACTCGATTTCAACTCCTAGCGACCAGGTAGGACAGAGTAGAACTGCCTGTGGGTTTCAGCGACTGTAACTCTTTATGAGAGTAGAAAGCTTCATTTTTTGCTTGCAGAGTGGCTGGTGGTTTCGAACCACTTGACCTAGCAGTTAGCAGCCCAACCAACACGTAACCCACTATGCCACCAGGACTTATTTTTTGACTAGGGTAGAGGTGAAGCATAGACTAACCTCATCAAGAAGGACAATGAAATAGGAGATAATTTGATATCAGTTCTTTAGAGAAATATATGTCCTTGGATCACATTCATGTTATGATGAATGCATTATATGTTTTGCGCTTGCAGTTCACTCTTCCGTTTTAGTATAAGATGCTAAGGTTTTTGTTTGTTTGTTTGTTTAAATTAATTAAGATTCAAAGGCCAGGGCAATAGAGATTTCTCTTTCTTGGTGGCGTAAGACATGTAGGACTTTAGAGCTCAGATGTAGACACTAAAGCGCTTTCTCTTTTGTTGACTTTCAGACTATGTTGAGCTCTCCTCCTCATTCCCATAGTAATTCAAGCTTCTACCATGGTTGTAAGTCATCCATAACATCGTGGGCTTGGTTTTCCCAGCCTGCAAATCAATTTCATTACATTGTTCTGATCCACACAATTGTAAATGGCTATCCAATTCTTTCTTTCTTTTTTGTACCAAATCTCAACCAAATGATAAGCATTTTAGGACAGGGATTGAGCCATACACATTTCTTCAACTCCTGTAGTCCTCATGTCTCCTAATACTGCATACACAGGATCTAAATACAAGTGATAGCTACTACCTATTGACACAAAAGATGT